AAAGAGTAGAATAGTAATCTCCAGTTGGTAGTCTCAAAAGTGTTTTTTCAAAAAGCAACTGGACTTTGTTTTTCCTTGAAGAGGTTTCGCTTCTCATCCAAGAAGCTTTTTCAGTTCTGAGTCAGAACATCAGTCACAACTGAAGAAGCTTCTTGGATGAGAAGCAAAACATCTTCAAGGAAGAACAAAGTCCAGCTGCTTTTTGAAAAAGCACCTTTGGGACAACCATGACCTGGATGACTGAGAATCTCCAGATTTGGGGGGACGGAGGTTTCCTGCCTATGAAATGGGATATAATCATATCTTCAGAAATATAGATGCAATTATTCTGTCAACTTTCTATTAATAGCTTAGTCAAACAATGTCGGTATTCACAGTGGTTATTTTGGAAACATGCCTAGGAATGCATTCAGTTCCCTGAAAAATTCCCTGATCTTGAAGTATTATTTAAGTATTAAAGAAATCTTAATTCAGAGTACATATAAACTTGAGAAAATATTTAACTTAACCTTTCTGCTTCCATTAATTTGTCAATACTAACATTTTTTTTGAGTTCTGCCATTTCAGAACTTCAGAACTAAGGTACAGGTGTGCAGAAATTTCTAGCTAAAATGTGAAAGGTATAATTAAAAATGTACATCTTATATAGATTTATTAAGTTTAAAAGAGACTTGTCTAAATGTCAAATTTTAAATATTTTCTTTGTATTGTCCCATCCACAGAAGGCATTTCTGTATGGTAAAATGGGATTGCACTAGCCTTTCCCCAAAGCTGGTCTTTATTCTACAGTTGATTTAATTGTAGAATAGCCTCTGATGTCAAATGCTGCAATTGTGTACTTGCAATATGATGTCTAGGGAAGTGTGTTAGTTCTAGCATTACACTCTTATTTCACATCTGCTATCATATGCCACCCAAACATCCACCCATAATTGTGGGTTGAATCTTCCAATTACTGATGAATGACATATATAAACTGCAACACAATAACTCATATAAAACCCAGCCATTGCTATTTTCAGTATTGCAGTAAACCATCAATTATTGGTTATTACTTTATGGAAATGCAGTGCAAGTTGCAACTTTTTGTCATATGCAGGAACATCAATCCAAACAATACTCTCTCTTTTTTGTTTCTACAGCCTAGGTGGCAGTAATTTCTATAAAGTCTTCCATACCTAATTTTTCATTGACTTTTAACAGCTGCAAGAATATTGATCCATATTCTTCTTTCAACTTTGGGTGACCAAGAATTACCTTTTGTAATTTTTTTTTTTTAACAGTCAAAATTTGCATTGAGAGATGCAAAGCCCAAATGGTGGGCTTTGGAAAATAGAGGATTATGTTTAAAATATATAATAAAATAATAAAATGCACTCTTTCAGCAGTATCATGTGGACTTTCCCCAAAACATATAATGTTTTGATGTCATATTTCAGCAGGAAACCTATACTTTCTCAATATATTTTGAAAACATATTAGTGATTTCAGTGTCAATATCAAAAGTGGCATGTTTCAATTCTAGTTATAACTTTAGAATTGTTTTTTTCAGCACAGTGCTCAAAAAGAAAATAATCCAACATAATTAGGGTAGCAATTATGAACAAACCTATCCCATATATGGCTCTTTGAAATAGCCATAAAAAGGTGTCATGGGAAAGAATCAATTCTGCAAGGATATAATTTCTTGCTGGCAAATAGAATTTCTTCCAGAAAACTGACTTTGCACTGTTTTCCAAAATGTGCCTATTTATTTTATTAGGAAGTCTGAAAACAGATATGAGTGCTTTTGATTTTTTTTTAATTTGTTTATGCTTGGCTTTTTATTTCTAATATTTATATTTGGTACTCGTTCCAAACCAACAGATTGGAAGGAAATTGTGTAATGGGGCTCAGGATTCTGTCTGTTGCTCTCACCAGTCATCAACATAATAATTTAGGAATGGGATGAAATTTAATGTGGAGAAGCAGTCAAAAGATGACTGGTTTGGAAATGGTTGGATCTGGTCAAATGAAGAAAATGAAGCATGCATACAGGACAGAAAAGTTGGACAATGTCTTCAAATGTTGCTGACATCTCCATTTTAACTCCTCTTAATATTTCTTGGTCCAATAAGCCAGGTGGAGTGTATGCAGCCTGTCCTGTGCTTCCCATTGTACTTATGTACACCTCGTACATGGATATAACGTTGTACTTATGTATATCATACATGGATGTAACACAGGGAAAAGTTAAGAAACTCACACCTACACAAAGGCACACCGTATTGTGTTCTCACGCAGAAGAGAATATAAATGCCTCCTGGTTATCAACCCTGGTAAAGGTGTTAGGAAAACAGTTCCAAAAGCCGTGATCTGCATGTTTTCATTAACTTGTTTGGGGATTGTCATTTACTTTCCATATTGTTACTAAAACTTGAATGCAGTTTTGTCCTCTGGTTAGTAGAAAAGAAGTGGTTTCAAACCTAACATGCCACAAGTTTTTTATGACTCCAGTTGTTCATACTGAGACCATTTCTGGGTTTCAGAATATGAAGCTGATTTTATTTTATGGCACTTTCATCCTATCTGATGGTAATGTCAAAGTTCAAGGATAAAGAGCACGGTCCTCCATGTTAGTGCCTTATCTAGTGGCCAAATATTCTTAATTCTAAGAGGCTTGTTGGATCTAGATATTCCAAAGATTCATGTAATGAATAGCCAGTTGCAGCTGTGAGCTATTTCACTAAAGCTGTCCATATTCATTTCTTCGGTTGATTTTATCAAAATGCAAGGATTCATGTTTCTTATTACTGTATGATTTCTTCAATTAGCCAATAGCTTTACGTTTATTTTCTTGCAATCTCCCTTGCTGCCCTGCATAGACGTGGGATGTGCATGTTTCAAAATGATTCATGGAAGTATAGAAATCTCTAAAAAGAAGGGCTGTTGCTTCCAGTGTTCCATTAACTTTAAGCAGTGGATTCCATCAAGCTGTTGCATGTTTCTTGTGGGATATTTAAAATATGGGATATTTTAAAGCATGCACCCCCCTTATGCATCTATCCATTTTTGAAGTAAATGTCACTGTATTTTGCAATTTAATTGCATGAAACTTTAACCTATCATTTTACTAATTGTATTTATTGAGCATTAGATGAGTGGGTAGATAGATAGACAGACAGACAGACAGACAGATAGTATTCGTTATTGGCCAAGTGTGATTGGACACATAAGGAATTTGTCTCAGGTGCATAAACTCACAATGTAATATAAACAGCAAGTAATAGGTCATAAATCATAGTTACAATCATTAATTATAAGTTATAAGCAACAATTGATAAATTATAAGAAATCAATAGGAGAATATGTAGGAAAGGTGAGAAGATATAACTATAACTGTCTGGTGTGGTTCTTCAGAGGATAATCAGAACTGCAGAAAAAACAATTACTACCAACCTGCCTTCCATTGAGGACCTGTATACTGCACAAGTCAAAAAGAGGGCTGTGAAAATATCTACAGACCCCTCACATCCTGGACATAAATTGTTTCAACTCCTACCCTCAAAACAATGCTATAGAGCACTGCACAACAGAACAACTAAACACAAGAACATTTTTTTCCCGAATGCCATCACTCTGCTAAACAAATAATTACCTCAACACTGTCAAACTATTCACTAAGTCTGCATTGCTATTAATCTTCTCATAGTTCCTATCACCCATCTCCTCCCACTTATGACTGTATGACTGTAACTTTGTTGCTTGTATCCTTACTATTTATATTGCTGTTTCCTAATATGATTTGATTGTTTATTTGTACCCTATGACTATCATTAAGTGTTGTACCTTATGATTCTTGATGAATGTATCTTGTCTTTTTATGTACACTGAGAGCATATGCACCAAAGACAAATTTCTTGTGTGTCCAATCACAAGTTGTTCATATAACATGACTATGCTATGACTCTGTGCACAGTCATCAAACTGCATAATCCATAAAATGATGTGGTGGTCCTTTTTCCTGTGACCATTTTTATCTATAAGGCAGTGTGTCTAGACAATATATAACTTATACCTTACTTGTATGCCATTCAAAATATATATAGCCAAGGTGGGCGCAGTGGTTAGAGTGCAGGACTGCAGGCTACTTCTGCTGCCTGCTGCCTGCCTGCAATTTGGCAGATCGAATCTCACCAGACTCAGCCTTCCATCCTTCTGAGGCGGGTAAAATGAGGACCCAGATATGCTGACTCTGTAAACTGCTTAGAGGGGGCTGTAAAAGCACTGTAAAGCAGTATATAAGTCTAAGTGCTATATAACCAATATCCAAGGGATAATGTAATAGAATGGGAAGTGACAAGCAAAGTGGATGACAAATCTTGCACAGAATACCTATCAATAATGGTAAAAAGCAACCCTAAAAGATGCTTAAAAATAGCATCTCCTTAAGCCTTTAGAATCAAAAATTTAATGCTATTAACTATTTGCTGGGACCTGTATTTGGAATTACCTGAAAAATGAAAAATAAAAATAACTGAAAACAAAGATAAACATTTTAAAACTTATTAGGAAGTCTTATTCCTTATAGGAAGAAAAATAAAACTCTTGACATATCCATATTCAATATTTCTATATTATAAAGGACAGTCAAGTTTGACTTTGTCCTTCATTGTAGAGTTTTCAAACTCTTTCTTCTGTTGATTTTTTTGAAGAAAGCAATTCTGTTTAATTTCCACCGAGACAGAAAAATATAAACTTAGTTTCTTCAGAAACTTTAGAACAAAAGCATGAACTAATAATTTATGGTTCCTAAAAATATAAATATGCAGCAAAATATAAACTTAGTTTCTTCAGAAACTTTAGAACAAAAGCATGAACTAATTATTTATGGTTCCTAAAAATGTAAATATGCAGCAATTTTCTTCACAGCTTTTTTAACAGAATCTAGAAGAGACATGCTTATGACTTAAGGCATTCAGTGTATTTTAATTTTGCTAACCCCCTTTTTTTATTTTTAGGCAATACTGCAAAGATATTCATTGAGGTTCAGGATGAAAACGATCATGCTCCTATCTTCACAAAAAAAATTTATATAGGAGGTGTCTCTGAAGACGCTAGAATGTTTTCTTCCGTGATCAAAGTGAAGGTAGGAATTATGCTGAACAACCAATTTTGCTTTCAATTTTTTTAGAAGGTACACTTTAAAGCCTGCAATCGATTCAAACATGTACCCTAGAGTCTTATCTGCGTGCAGAAAGACCACTTGGTATGCATGCAGATTTTCAGCTATCTGATGAGTGGAAGCTTTGCTTATTGAAAACTATTTAACAGAAATTTCCAAAACTGCGGAAGAAGAGTTGAAAGGAATTTGAAAATGAGAGCTGTGACAGTGCTGAAAATTGCTTCACTCCCTTAAATACTTAAGTAGCTTCTATAATAATTCTTTGAGTTTTGATCAATGAAGGTTTTTTTTTAATTACTGTTTTTTTTATCCCAAAGTATCCTATTAATACTTCCAGTCAGATCCAATATTTTTAACTTATTGTACTTATTGATATAATAAATTATTTCTACTACATGCTGCCCACTCTTTAAAGTATAATTATTCATAGAATAACAAAGTTAGAAGGGACCTTGGAAGTCATCTAGTCCAACCACTTGCATGAGCAGGAGAAGCTATATCATTTCAAACAAATGGCTGTCCATTGAATGATAGGGCACCCACTTCTGAAGCAAGCCATTCTTCCAGTTAATTGTTCTCACCAATAGGAAATTTCTCCCTAGTGTTACGTTACTTCTCTCCTTGATTAGTTTCCATCCATTGTTTCTTGTCCTTCCTTCAGGTGCTTTGGAAAATAGTTTGATCCCCTATTCTTTGTGGCAGCTCCTCAGATATCAGAACACTGTCATCATGTTTTTCCTAGTCCTTCTTTTCACTAGACTTGACATACCCAATTCCTGCAACTGTTCTTCATATGTTTTCGTCTCACTTAAATACAGAGGCAGCTTCTGTTCTTTTGAGTTTTGATAAATGAAGGGTTTTTTTTAAAAAAAATTACTGCTTTCTTTTTATTCCCAAAGTATGCTGTTAATACTTCCAGTCAGATCCAGTATTTTTAACTTGTTGTACTTACTGATATAATAAATAGTTTCTAATATATGCTGCCTATTCTTTAAGGTATAATTATTCTTGCTTAGCCATTATGAGTTCAAAATCTGAACTCCTGTATCTTTGCAATCTTCCCAGAAGATGCTATTTAATGTTGCTACCAGTTGGAAGGCTGGAAAAGGTAATTGATGAGAAGTGTGTTTATGTAGCTCAATGTAGCTCTTAGCCTAGCTGCAATATCTCTGAATTACCATAATTAAGAACTGCCTGAAATAAAAAATGGAAGAAACACCTGCTGTTGTTGTTCCATTGGATTTTTTAGCCCTAAAAAAAGGGCGTAAAGGAAGACAGAATTCTTTAGAAAGTAGGTGTTTGGCACTACTTTTCTATTTAAAAAAAGTTTATACACTTTTCCAGATCCATTATTGTACATAAAATACAAAATGAGGTAGATAACAAGCTAAATCTAAAAAAAATATAATGAATTATTTTGTGTATTGAAAACAGAATCACTTCTGAATAGGGTAGATAAAAATCAATGATGTTTTTAAAAAAATCCAAAAAATCAGATTTTTTTATTTAAATCGGATTTTATTTTATTTAAATTGGATTTTTTTGATTTTTATCGAATTTATTTTAATAAAAAACTTTTGGGGTAAAAATCTATCGTAAGATAGTTTTCTATTTAAGATACATAAATAATTTAGTTTATTCAGCATGAAATGGAGCTTAGTTATTATGTAGCATGAGGCTGTATATTCTGCAACACTGGGACTATCGGTGAGTCAACAGTGGGTCAAAGGAGTAGCAGAGATGACAGTTGATCTTTAAAAATTATGATTTAAATCGAGTTGATTTAAATCAAGCCTTTTTACTAGTGATTTAAATCATGATTTAAATTGTGATTTAAGTCAACTCGATTTAAATCAAATCCTCCCTGCTTCTGAATGTAGAGATAAGCTACATACAGAACATTGGGTACTGTCTGAAAAATAAATATTTTCTCATACTTTGTATCTTTCCATAGGACAATTTTATCATATTATATAACTATGACTATAAAGACATTTTATTTGTTGGACAAATAGTAGTGTGATTATAAGGTGCATATTCATTGTGATATCTAATTTCTTTATATTATGCTCATATATAAGTATACCATCTGTATACCTTTCCCATGCTGTATGTTAGGTTCCCTCTAAGATTTTAAGACGATGTATGTAATACTCCTTCTTCCAGGTTTTCCCACATTAATTACTGCAAAAAAATTAATTTGGTTGTTTCATAATTTAATGTAATTTGAGCTCCTAAATCAGTATGGAGCATAAGAAAGATGAACAAATCATATAAATTAAAAGAGCCCTCAAATTTCTTACACCTCCATCACAGAAAATCTAATATGCATTCTTTTTTAAACATTGTTTGGGATATACAGTAGACTGAAAACATTTTCAGGCAGATTAATGTTGTTTTAAATTATAAGAAATACTTCTTTAAACTTTTATTGATCTCCCGAAACTGGATATTTATTGTAAATGCCTTGTTATACAGATAATAAATAACTAGTAATATTAATGTTAGTCATATATTTAAATTTCTGATCAAAAATAAATTGTTGTTTTTACTTTAAATATAGTTCCTTTTAAACATCCAAGCATTTTAGGTGTTTCTGAAGCTGTCAAATCGTATGGGCCACAATATGATCAACTAAAATGTTTTGATGATTTTTTTGATTCTATCATTTCTACATTTTATGTGAGGCCATTATAAAAACGGGAAAACAACCAATAAATAACAAAATACTATACAACTGAATATTTTTGGCTTTAAATCTATTTTAAAAATATGTATAGAATTTTTGAATTCCAAATTCACAGCAGCTCTTCTTACATTGGAGAAAGCCTGAAGTAATGAATAAAGCTAAGGATTAAAAAAAAAAAAGCCATTTTGATTTTGAAGTTCAACTTCACTAAAAACACTAAAAACAAAATCAAAGGGATATTTCTGATTACTTAGCTCAGTTCTGCATTTTAATGGAAAGGGAAGTTCTATCGGTGCAAATTTAATAGGAAGAATCATTAAAATGCACACTTAAAATAAGATGTAAGAAAAGAAAGAGTTGATCTCTTGAGTAAAAAAAAAGGCTCCAAATTTTTGCTGAGGTAGAAATGTTCCGTTATTATTGCTATTCCTATGAGTTTCTCGGCAGGTCATTGACAATGATAAATGTATGTGAAAACTTGAAAACAGGAAATATCAGAAAATTTTGAAGTGAGATTTTTTAACTCTTCAGAAGCATTGTATGTTTTATATTCTGAGCCAGATTCTAGTACATTAGTTGATCATATTAGATAAACAGCCTTTTCCAAATAATGTGTCTTAATTGAATCCTAAAAGGAAGAGTTGTCATGGTGTGGTTGAGTTTTTATTTTGAATGAAAGTACATTGGACATTTGTGGCCTATAGTGCTGCCAAATTATCAGTGTAGAATCAGTTGAGAACCACAGCTAGATTTTTTTTGCTTTCCAGCCATATAAATTTGAGAAATGTAAGCTGCTATTTACATATGTTCAGATTGAAATGCAAACCAAGCTAATTACTCCCTACTGCTATTAAGACAGCTCACCGCTATTTCTTCCCATTTGTGGCATGTTCTCAGTAAAAACCAAGCCAAATAGATGATTCTTCAGATGTGTTCTGTTTTTCCCAGACTGGGAGAAGGATGGAAGCTGCCAGAGGCATCACTAGCAATGCTTGTTCGGAGTGGGTGTTTTGATTATTTCCTTATAGGAGTCAAGGTATCAGTTTTAAAATATAATTTCCATATGATATATCAAGCTTTCATGTGGCTATTTAAACCAGTCACTTAAATGAAAAAACATAAAGATTTTAGAATATCATTGGACATTTGTGGCCTGCTCAAGAAGTTGAGTTTTCTTTTAACTTTCCAGAGTAAAATAATACTCAGTTGTCCCAATAAAATTAAACAAATAAAAAAAAAAAAAAGAAGGAATAAAGACCACTTTTTGTCTATAGTGAGCTGCCAAAGAGTACGGTTAATGTGTAATGGGAAGTCTCCTTTGTAATGTAAAAGAAAGTCCACAAAGAAGAAAAGATGTGTCAAAGTGAAGCTAATTATGGATCTTATAAAGTTTTGAATCATCATTATTTATGTATTTATAAATTTGGGATCATACAGAATAGAAAAACAAAATAACAGAATAACAGCGGGACCTTGAAGGTCTTCTAATCTAACCCCTTGCTGAAGTAAGAAACCCTATACCATTTCAGACAAATGGTTGTCCAGTCTCTTCTTAAAAGTCTCTTAGACAACACACAACTTTTAGAGGCAAGTCATTCCACTGATTAATTGTTCTGTCAAGAAATTTCTCCTTATTTCTAGGTTGGATCTGTCCTTGATTAGTTTCCATCCATTGCTTCTTGTCCTGCCTTCAGGTGCTTTAGAAAATAGATTGTCCCCCTCCTCTTTGTGGCAGCCCTTTAGATATTGGAACACTGCTATCATGTCACTCCTAGTCCTTTTTTTTCATTAAACTAGACATACCCAGTTCCAGCAACCGTTCTTCATATGTTTTAACCTCCAGTACCGTTATCACCTTTATTGCTCCTACCCTATTTTTGATAGAATAGAATAGAATAGAATAGAATAGAATAGAATAGAATAGAATTTTTTATTGGCCAAGTGTGATTGGACACACAAGGAATTTGACTTGGTGGATATGCTCTCAGTGTACATAAAATAAAAGATACGATCATCAAGAATCATAAGGTACAACACTTAATGATAGTCATAGGGCACAAATAAGCAATGAGGAAAATGTATCAATATAAATCGTAAGGATACAAGCAAGAAAGTTACAGTCATACAGTCATCAGTGGAAGGAGATGGGTGGTGAGAACAATGAGAATATTAATAGTAGTGCAGACTTAGTAAATAGTTTGACAGTGTTGAGGGAATTATTTGTTTATAAATAATATAGAAATAATCCTGTGAAGTAGGTTGAACTGGGAGTCAC